ATGCCAGGAAATTCTCAAGACCCTGACAAGCCCAGGAAAGCTTCAAAGGGAAATTGCAAACTCAAAGTCTCCCCACACACACACACCGCCCCTCCAGCTTCCAAGTCATGCGAAGAAAGATCCAAGCTTTAATTCAAAGCAACAAAAATTGGAGTCAACCGTAGATAATCCCAACAAGTTAATTCTCCGTTGCAGATTATTTTAGCTACCTATCTCCACTCTGGGCTGAACAGGAGATGTGGCAGAAGACTTGGTTAGAGGCCACCAGGTCTGGCTTGGGGAAAAGCAGGTGTAATCACGGGGTCCTAGGTGGTCTCTGAGTTTGCTGGTTTTCTTGCAGACGTTTCATTACCAAACTAGATAACATCATCAGTGCAGCACCAAGGACCCTACAGTTTAATCCTGAGCTGGAAATATTCTATCAGTATCGGGTATTACCCAAGCAAGACAGAGTGGCTATTAATTCAAAAGGTAGTTAATGCCAGAATTATTCCAACTTTATGCCAATTCTCACTCTGGTTAGCCCAAATATTACATTTGTCTTCAAATCCCTCTGTTAACCATCTGTTATTGTATTTAACATGTAGAAAGAAGTGTGTGTGTGTGTGTGTGTTCTTCATCCCTACACAATGTTCTTTGTCTAGAACATTTAGGAGGAAAAGGATATGTATGTTTCCAAAACAAGCACTGGGCCGTGGCTGCCCATCATTTAAAAAAAAGAAAAGAAAAAAGCTTGTGAATTCATATAACATCTTTCCATGTAACTCTCCTTTTTTTTCTTTTTAAAAAAGCTTTTTTCTTCCCTCTATTATTTCTCATAATTACTCTAGCTCCATTATTATTATTATTCCTTTTTTTAAAAAAAAACCAATACATGTTTCTCTTTTAGGGAAAACAATAAGGGGAAAGATATCCTGTTTTAAAATTTAAAAAAAAAATGTCCTAGGCAATCCAGAGATGTCAAAAGCAGCGAGTTAGGTAGCTAAACAGTTTTAGCTCAAATTAATCTATTTCCACATTCTTTTTCTCTGGGCGGCTGAATCAGCATCAGCTCAGCCACTTCCAGTTCAGACCAGATGAAACTTTGCAGCAAAACCGAGAATCAGTTTCCTCCTTGGCAGGCACCCGATCGCTCTCTCTCTCTCTCTCACACACACACAAACACACACTCTGCCCAAGCACTGGGACAATGTGGCCAGTCACAGAGGATTTCGCTTCAAGTCTTATCTCTTTCCTACCTACAATCATCTTGCTTCTTATGCAATCCAAGGAACAATAAGAATTATCTCCTCTACCTGATCTCTCTCCCTCCCTCCCTCCTTCCTTTCTCTTTCTCTCTCTCCCTCCCTCCCTTTCTCTCTCTCCCCCTCTCTCCCTCCCTCTCTCTTTCTCTCTTTCTCTCTCCCTCCCTTTCTCTCCCTCTTCCTCCCTCCTCCCTCTTTCCTTCTTTCTCTCCCCTCCCTCTTTCTCTCTCTCTCTCCCTCCCTCCCTCTCCCTCTCTCTTTCTCTCCCTCTCCCTCTCCCTCCCTCTTTCTCTCCCTCTCTTCCTCCCTTTCTTTCTTTCTTTCTTTTTCTTTCTCTCTCTCTCTCTCTCTCTCTCTTCCTCCCTTTCTCTCCCTCTCTTCCTCCCTCTCTTTCTCTTTCTTTTTCTCTCCCCTCCCTCTCCCTCTCCCTCCCTCTTTCTCTCCCTCTCTTCCTCTTTCTTTCTTTTTCTTTCTTTCTTTCTCTCTTCCTCCCTTTCTCTCCCTCTCTTCCTCCCTCCTTCCCTCCCTCCCTCTCTTCCTCCCTCCCTCCCTCTTTCTTTCTCTCTTTCTTTTTCTCTTTCTCTTTTTCTCTCTTTCACTTTCTTTCTTTCTCTCACTCTCTCTCCCGCCCTCCTCTCTCTTTCCCTCTCTCTTTTTGCAATCTATTCTGTCCAATTCTCAGAGACTGCCTGGACTAATCTCTGCAGTTTTCTTGGCCGGGTTTTTCACAAGCGCTTTGCCGTGGCTTCTTTCCTGGATCTGAGGAGAGGGACTAGCCCAAGGTTACTGGCACCTGCCGTGGTGCCCATGGGAGGACTAGAACTCACAGTCTCCTGGTTTCAAACCTGGTGCCTTAACCATTACAGCCAAACTGGTTCCCCCCCCCCCGCCTGATCTCTAACCTTCCTTTAAAGGTATTTGGCCCGAGTGCTCCAAAAAGACACCCAAGAAACAGCACAAGTAGTCCTCAACTTACACGAGTTTATTTAGTGACCGTTCTAAGATACAACGGCACTGAAAAAAGTGACTTAGGACCATTGTTCACACTTACGACCATTGCAACACCTCTATGGCCACATGATTAAAATCCAGACGCTTGGCAACTGACTCATACTTATGACGGTCGCAGTGTCCCCGGGGGTCACGTGATCCCCTTTTGCGACCTTCTGACAAGCAAAGTCAATGAGGGAAGCCAAATTCACTTAACAGCTCCACGTAGGGCTGGCTCAGGAATTCTGGGGGTTGAAGTCCACGCCTCTCAAACCCGCCAAGGTTAAGACACAGCGATGCAGGATATGAGGAGAGCGGTCCCCAACGAAGGAACATTTAGTGCCATCGAAACCAATGAAGCAAAAGTCCAGCATTTTAAAATTACACAACTGCAGCACTGGGGTGGAGCGGAGGACAACACACTTCTGCCCTGGTTTAAGCGCAGCAAAGGTAAAGTTTAGTAAACAGCAGGGTGCAATCCAGGTAGAGTGCTCCAGTACATCATGCATTTCCACCGTGAGGCTGCATAGAGCAGTGGTTCTCAACCTTTTTAATGCCGTGACCCCAACCGGTCGTAAGTCGAGGGCTAAACCGGTCATAAGTCGAGGACTAAACCGGTCATAAGTCGAGGACTAAACCGGTCGTAAGTCGAGGACTACCCAACCCGGGAGCGCCGCGCATGCGTGGTTCCGCCCCCTGCGCCGGCCGAGGCGTAGCTGGCAAGCGGCAGAGACGGAGCAGGCCGACCACCAGCTAGCCCAGCCCAAGGGAGGTAAGGCACCCGCCGGAAAAGGGGAAAAAAATGGCGGACAAAAAAAATGGCGGACAGCCTTGCTTGGCGACCCCCATGAAATGGTCGATCGACCCCAAATGGGGTCCCGACCCACAGGTTGAGAACCACTGGCATAGAGTCTGCTGGGGGACGGTTTGTTTTCACCTCTCCTGTCCTTCATGATCATCTTTGCATGGTGTGTGTGTGTGGGGGGGGGGGACCATAAAAGAAGGCCAAAGGTCAAGAGAACCCTGTTTGTTGGAGAGTCAATGTCAGAAAGACTTCAGGTAGGGAAGCATAGGGAATTGTTGTCTATCTGTCGGGCTGCTCTGTAAGTCTGCGTTCGGCTCATAATCCCGATATTTTGCAGGACTCGCCCTTCTCACTTCCCAGAATGCGAGTCCTTAAAAGTCTATCCAGATTCCTCACGATTCCTAATTTGGGGAGAAACTGGGGGACCCTCCTCACATCCACTTTCAATTGGACAGAGCAATCCAGATCTCCTTTTCCCAATCTGGGACGGTTCCAGTAGCTGGCTGGAAAAACATATCTGGCCAGAGGCAGATAATGTTCAATCTAGAATAAAAGACAGCTGGAAGGGATCTTGGAGGTCTTCTAGTCCAGCCCCCTGCTCAAGCAGGAGAACTTATACCATTTCAGACAAGTGACTGTCCCAGCCTCTTCTTAAAAACCTCCAGTGATGGAGCACCCATGATTTCTGGAGGCAAGCTGTTCCACTGGTTAATTGTCCTCACTGTCAGGAAGTTTCTCCTTAATTCCAGGTTGCTTTTCTCTTTGGTCAGTTTCCAACCATTGTTTCTTGTCCTGCCCTCTGGTGCTTTGGAGAATAACGTGACCCCCCTCCTCTTTGTGGCAGCCCCTCAAATATTGGAATATGCTATCATGCCACCCCTATTTCTTCTTTTCTTCTCTGCCTAAGATCGCTTTCAATCGCATCTTAACCCAATATTTTATCTTAGTGTGTTGCTGCTTTGCGGTGAGCTTTCCGAGTTGTCTCATAGAATAAATAACAGAGTTGGAAGGGACCTTGTCCTGACGGAACCCCGTTGTGATGGAACTTGGAAAACGGTTGTCGGTTTCCCCAAATGCTACCACTCTCCTCTATGAAAGTTTATGAGGATTCCAAGTGAACTTTTTGGGCTGCAAGCAGCATTTTTTTCCCCCTTGGCATTTTGTAGGGAAGATCCCACCCAGGCTGCCTGGATGTCTTGTAGAACTATGCTGTGGTCGACATGGATAATTTATTCATAGATGGAAAAAGTAAACTAATTCCACAGCCTATTTTAAGCTTCGCCAACATCCATTTGGAAGTGCTCAAGCCCCACCGCTGGGCCAAGAGTCCAGTGCCATATAATTAACCAGGAAGCCCAGTCCGAGGCTTGGAGCCTCCAAACCTGTCTCCTCCTGCCGGGTTCCCGCAATTCATCCCCCCCACACACACACCAAATGCATTTTTTTTTTTGCCGCCCCCAGCAAAGGCGGAGAAGCGGTTGACTCCAGCCAGCTAGTCAATTTTGGCTGAAGGTGAAGAAACTCAAGCCGAGCTGGTCTCCTGACGAAGGTCGGCCAGGGACGGACCGGAGGAGTTAGGCTCTCTGCCCCCCAGCCCCCCAGCCCAGCTCCCTCCAGACATTTCCTCCGGAGGGGGGGGGGAAGCTTGTTTTCCACCCTCGCCAGTCGGCTTTTGACTTCCGTACGACGCGTCACGCTTCGGGCCGTTGGAAGCGCCGTGCCTAAACAGAGGTCCCCCAAATGTCCCCGGGAAAAGAGCAGGCCAATCTACCCGTTGACCGTCCGAAGCCCCTGGAGAACCCAACTCAACCCAACCCAACTCAACCCAACCCAACCCAACTCAACCCAACCGGGCCTGGCTTGGCGAGAAGCCGCTCTCTTGGCCCCTACCCAAGGCGCGCCCAGGTGCCTTCCGCTGCCCGAGCCCACCTGCCCGAGGCGCCCCCTCTGCCTCCTCTCACCTCGGCCCGGGGCTTGCTCTGCAGCAGGTGCTCCAGGTAGAGGTCCGAGAGCGCCGTCCTCATGCTGCTGGTGCTGCTGCTGCCGTCCCCGCTCCGCTCGGATTTCAGCGTCATGGTGCGGCGGGGGCTGCCGGCTCCGGCTGGCCCGGACAATAGGCGATCTTCTCCGGCGCTCCCTTGCGCGCTTCAGCCGGCCGTAGGCGAAAGGAGCGAGGAGCCGCCAGGCGTCGGGAAGGGAACCCAGGGAAGGAGGGCTTGGCGAGCTGGGCCCGCCCGCTCAGCCGCCGGGAGGGGCCAAAAGGGAGGGTTCCCCCCCCCTTTCCCTCCCTCCCTCCCTCCCGGCTCCGCTCCGGCCGCTCCTTTGAGTTCAGCCCGGGCATCCGCGGGGCGTCGGGCAGAGGCGCAACCATCCGAGGCTGGGCGCGCCCGGGGGTCCCTGTTGCAGCCGTGGCTCCTCGCCCCCTTCCCCACCCGGGTGCAGGCCTGGCTTGCAAAGCAGAAGTGGGGGCGGGTGTGTGTGTGTGACAGGCTACACAGGGATAAGGTTCGCCTACACAGCCCCCCCGGTTCCATGGGGGCTGTGTTTTGTAAAGCAGGGTTTATGGCTTCAGCAGCGCTCCCCTCTCCGTCCATCAGTATTGGCTTATTGAGGAGTAGGCCAAGAGTAAGCAACTTGGGTCGTTTGTAAGCTACAGCTCAGGGCCTTCAATGAACCTGGCCAACTCTGTTCTTGCAGAGGGCATGGTTTAAGCAAGCCGTTGCTTAGTCACAGACTCTGAACAGCCAGGGTGCGTTGGGCTGCAAGCTGCACAGCTCCGACATTAGCAAAGGGCAGATGTTTGATATCTGCAACTCATCCCTCTTTCTCTGGCGAATGAATTTTCCAGGGGGAAGCAAAATGATCGGCTCGGAAGACCAGATCTGGGCTGCCTTGTGAAATCCCACGAAAGAATCAGAGCAATTGCACAATGAAATAATTGCCTGGAAGCCTTTTGTGAAACTGACGCAACTACAGCTGTTGTTTCACAGTTGAGGGATTTACATGCTGTAATCCTGAAGGAACCTAATGAAGAAAAAACAAAACCACAAGGCACACACTGGAATTGCTGTGGGTTGCGCTGTAAAAACCCAGTTTTTCAGGACCTTGTAAAATGAAGCTCTTTGCATTTGACTGCCCTGTTCTTCAACTATGGGAACCAAGGTGATACTATGCCAGGGTTACTTTTATTCAGACGGTTTTAATTTCTTTCCAAGATAATAGCAAAGGTTGGCTATGTTTGTGAAGTTATCAGACAAGGTTGTAGATGACAACCAAGGATTTTCATGGACTTATAGGACAATATTTTGCACCTTCAAAAGTCTTCAGAAGGTGGCCAGCGAAACACCGATTCCTTCAAGAAGCTGTATTTCAGTCCAGAAGAAGACTGAGAAGAGACAAGAATAGAAATAATATAAATATATATATAAATATATAAATAAGGACTTAAATTACTTTTAAGTCACATGGGAACTGCCTCTACATTTTCTTAGCAGAGTTTTGGAGAATATTTAATTCTTAAATATTGTTTTTACTTTTCTGTCACCGTTTCTTGTCCTTTTAGCTCTCTCTTTGATTTTTTCCCCTCTTCCTCACTTTATATTAGTTTGCAATAGTTCTTTGTTTTTGAAACTTTGAGTAAAATTATATGCTAAAAAAGAAAGAAAGAAAGAAAGAGAAAGAAAGAAAGAAAGAAAGAGAAAGAAAGAAAGAAAGAAAGAGTGTTGTTGATGGCGTTTGGCCTATTTCAAACCTATTACTGACACGTAATAGCACAGAAACCTTTTAAACCAAGCATGATGTGAGTTATCAAGCTTCCTTGTAGTCTTGTTGACATTGGAGATGTTATGTCTCTCTCCCGTCCTGGAATTTTTAGAGAGATATTTTCAAACCAGCTTTCAGCTGAACGATCCTTCCCTCTTGGGTCTCCTGTGCTATTTAAATCTGGCCACTGAAAAAAGCCAACTTGGGTCGCCCTTCCCCCCCCCTCTTTATTTTCCAAAGACGTCTGACTTCTTGCACAATGAGATGGTATAATTGAGGAAGGTCACGCCAGGCCATCTTGAAACAGCTGAGTTATTACATGCCCAACTTAGAGAAACATCTGTGTTTTGGTGCAACAGAAGACTCCAGCAAGGAGTGGCATGACATTATTAGAACAGACTGGGGCATAGTGCAGACCTTGCTCAGCAGAGTAGGCAGGAGTTCTCCCAAGTGTAACAAGACTTTCTTGCTACAGTTTGCAGCTAATGAAGGCCTAGCATGTTGCTCTCCAGAGCAATTTTCTCCAGTCGGTTACTTTCCAAATGGGGACTCTACAGCTTCCGTGGTGGTTAGAAGAAGTGCAGAATCTGGAGAACAATAAGAGTAGGGAAAGCCTGATATAAATAGATGGGTGTTAGGCATGAAAGATCAGGTCCGCATGTGAAGGTCCAATTAAACTGATTTATTCCTAAAAACCTATGCACGAGAATCTTCTCAACCAACTGGTTAACATCTGGTTGGGTTAGATAAGAGTCAAGAGAACTCAAGGGAAGTTGGATTGAGTTTGCTTGTGGTGACATGGAGATTCTAGGCTAATTCCTCTCTTAACTCCACCCCCAGTTTTTGCCACTCCTTCTCCAACAATGAGTGTGTCTTCAAGACTTTAAAGGAATTTAGTCGAGCCTGCTGTGCAAATGAGTGACACCTAATTCTTCATTTCCTAAAATCTTTGTTTAATTTGTAGAGCTTCGCCCTCCTTTCAAGACTGGAACCTGGAGCCAATTACAATTCCCCAGAAATGACCGTCATCAAACGACCCACTTACGTGGCACAGCAAAGAAGGAACATGACCACAAAGACAACTGGGAAAGCATATAGTGCTCCTCTAGGGAAGGAGTGAAGGACGTGAGCCCAGAGATCATCCAGGTAGTCTGACAACCAGGACCGGCGGACACCTATGGAGTCAACCAAGAAGATCCCTCAGCATCTGAGACAGACCTGTACCATGCTCCTGATTTCCTTTGGGAGAATGAACACAAAATACATTTTTCATCACATTTTTTTCTTCCTGCCATGTGAAGAACTGAGGATAAACTCCTGGCAAAAGACATACGTTCTGTTTATAAAAGGCCGTTTTTACCTTATTTCTAAACCAGTGTTTCTCAACCTTGACAATTTTAAGGCATGTGGACTTCAACTCCCAGAATTCCACAGCCAGCGTTGCTGGCTGTGGAATTCTGGGAGTTGAAGTCTACATGCCTTAAAATTGTCAAGGTTGAGAAACACTGTAATCTAAACCTTATGACGTAAAAAAAGGCGGGAAACTTCCAGAGGACAGATCGTTGTGAGGGGAAAAAGAAAACATGAAATAGGCGTTCATGAAAAGATCTTACTAACTAGACTTAATTGTTCGGTGTAGCTTTCATTACATTTAAATCAGTGTTTTTCAAACCTGAGGACTTTAAAACGTGTGGACTTCAACTGCCAGAATGGTGGCTGGGGAATTTTGAGAGTTGAAGCCCACACATTTTAAATTTGTCAGGTTTGAAAAACACTGATTAAGGGAGTGTGGCTTGCCCTCTCCTACCAGCATAATAATCATTTTCATGTTTTCACTAAATCACATCCCCGAAATGTTTCGTCTAAACTTTGACCAACGGAGTGCTAGCAACCGGCTAGCTGGCTTACTACATGTGCTAAACAGTTTCATTTTCCTTATGAAAGGGACCTAAGAATACTTCCTTCTTTTACAAACATGAACTTTTTGCATATAAGAGGGGCAAAAGGGTTCTCCTCCGTCTCTTATCCTTTTCAGTATGTAGGTATGCATTGATGGCACTTGTATACTGCTGAACCAAGAACAAACTTGAATGGCAGTTTATTGTACCTCAGTTGCATTAATATGTAAACTTATATTTAGAATAAGCAACTCTTTGTCCAGCTTCCTCAAGAGGCAGCTGGGAGGAAGGGGCAGAAACAAGGCAAAGAGATGAAAAATGCATAACCGAAAATGAACTGGACAAACAATTTGGAAAAAACGTGTGTCATAAGGTTGTGTTACCATTTTAGTATCAAAGGTCTTTGACTATGTATAACTGGGGAACTTAAGCAAGAAAAACTTTGGGGTGCGTGTTGGTATCTGATTGGTAATTTGGGGAGAGAATACCGGGCTCAGTTGACCATGGAGTTTAATTCAACCAGAATTATTGTTATGTTCATAAACTTTTAACCAGTTTGTGACTCTAAGCATCCTCTAAGACAGGGCTTTTCAACCAGTGGTACGGGTACTACCTGTGGTACATTGGCACCTGGCAGGTGGTACGCGACCATCCTAGAAAAGTGGTAGCGGGAGAGGGGAATGAGCTGAACCAGTGGCAGCACCACACAAGCCTGAGTGAGAGATGGCTGGAGCTGCAGGGCTGTCAGGGCTCAGCGGAAGCGCCAGGATCAATGCCAGGATCCAGTTGGAGCTCGGCGCTGATCCTGGTGCTTCTGCTGAGCCCAGAAGAAGCGCCGATCAGCTGGAATGTTGCAGCATCTTGGCAACCGATTCATATTTATGATGGTCACAGTGTCCCAGGGTCATGTGAAGTGACCAAAACCTGCTGCAACCACCCAGCAGACAGGGAGGGGGAATAAAAACCAAACACCCCCCCCACCCCACCCCCACTGCCAATCCTCAACGGAAATGCTCACAACAATGAAAACCTCGGACAGGAGGAAGAGCACCACCGGACGGGCAGGCAGGTGTCTTGCTCGGCTGTGGCTCAGGGGGCACTTTTTTCAGTGCCATTGTAACTTTGAACAGTCACTAAGGAAACTGTTGTAAGTCGAGGACTACCTGTACTACTTCACTTTTTTCCTTTTTTGGGGTGGGGGTCATCACGTTTTTGACACCTTGCTAGGCGACTGGTGGTACAATGGGTGAAAAGGTTGAAAAGCCCTGCTCTAAGACATCTCCTTCCATGTTAGGCCATCTCATCCAACTATCATGTGGCTATTTTAAAAACTCACGTTGGACCGTGTGTCCCAGATTTACAGCATCTGGCCTCGTGGTCCCCTGTAGAGGCATAGGGTGTTGCCTAAGCTGATTTTTAATTCTGTGTCTTCTAAGCCGGTTGCGGAAGACGGTGATGGAGGGCATCTTCTGAGCTCTGTGGACACCCAAGGCGCAGACTGGAGACACAGCCACCGAGAGCACCTGGAAGCAGACTATTTCTTGCCACATGACATCCATGGCTTATCAGACACAGGTAATGTCAGTTAGAACTGCCTCTTGGACACACACTTACAGGCACACCTGCTACACTGCAAATGTTGGGAAAAGGCCAAATCAGGAAATTCATTCAAAACCAGTCAAAAGAGGAGAACCAAAAGAGTTCACGAATGATCAGAAATCAGAATGGTCTCCACAGTCCTAAAACATTAATCCAATATTCCGGGGACTAATTATGGACCCAGCATGCTGTTTAGAAATCCTTCTAGAGGACCAGTTTCAACAAACTCCAGATCCAAGCCTAGGTGTGCCCTAGTGTGGCTTTCAACTGCGTGCACATGGAACCTGGCAACCTTTATGATGTCACTTAGACCTCTGTGACCCAACCTTCCTCAACTCAGTGTCTTTCAGTTTCGGATATGTTGGGATCATAATATTTCAGCCCATGTTGCAGTAGGGATCTTCGGCATTCACAGGATCAAGCTATCATGGATGTCTGTGCGTATGCAGAGACATGTGCGGCAGGGGTGGTGGTGTTGCCTGTCAAATATCTTTGCTATTTCTGAAGGAACACTTCTAATCATTGAAATCTACCATGGTGAGTAGGAGAAGAGCAGGCAGAGCCTGGGGGCGGAGTCAAGCGAGTCAGCAGCCTAGAGTCACTACATTCCCATAAATGGTCTATGTCTAACCTTGAATTCTGCTGAATCGCCTGTAGTGCCAATTTAGAGTTGACCATTAATTGACTAGAATGTTGTGAATAGAAATGATATGTGGTCCCAATTCTTCACGCCGGACAGATGGTCTGGGATGGCTTTGGGAAGCCCTCCTTTATTCATTAAGAGTCGGGCCTTTTTGGTGGTAGAACCCTGGTTGTGCAATCTTGCCTGGTAAAATCTTCCCTGTCTCTCTTTAACCATGATGCAAAGCTCCCTAGGTTTTCTTAGGATTGGCCTTCCTTGTGTGCAAGCAGAGGTTCTTATATCCTTTTTCAAATGTTGCTTGCCTGTCTCTTTGGGATGTTCCTTGGACTGGCAACCATTCAGTAATCTTGGAAAGACTACATTTGGAAAGACGAAGCCCCCATGAAATAAAACAATAAATCAAGTTCTTCTGAATAATTCTGAGGTTGCATTTGGAAGCCTTAAAACGTATGGGGGAAAGATTCCCCCCTGGAAGGGGCTCCTCACCGGGTAATTAATTATTATCAGTATTAATGCTGACTCAGTCCACTGCAGAGACTTTGTGCTGAGGCATCAGTCAGGAAAAACAAGAGGAGAAAGTACAGATCTTCACGAGATAAACATTCTTTAATTACACGGCTGTATTCTCCAGCTACATCCAAGTCTGCATCGAGCAAATGATATGCAAATGCTGAATGTGCAGTTGGGTTAACATCTGAAGGACCCACCTGGATTTTGCTTAACAGGATTGGGGACATGAGTGGCTAAAAGGGAGATAAACTATCTCCCTTTAGACAGTTGCTAGAAGCAGACGGAAGTTTACTGGTAGCTTAGGCACTTCAGATATGGAGATGTCTACAGGTGGGGATGATTCAAACAGAAGCAGTAAACAGTTTTTTTCAACTGAGCAGCCTCTTGGGTTGACAAATGACAATTCCCATCCGTCCCAAACTACAGGACTGTTTGCTGCCAAAAAGGGCAACAGAGTGCTGGGCTGCATTAACAGAGGGATAGAATCAAGATCACGTGAAGTGTTGATACCACTTTACAAGGCCTTGGTAAGGCCACACTTGGAATACTGCATCCAGTTTTGGTCACCGCGATGTAAAAAAGATGTTGAGACTCTAGAAAGAGTACAGAGAAGAGCAACAAAGATGATCAGGGGACTGGAGGCTAAAACATATAAGGAACGGTTGCTGGAATTGGGTATGTCCAGTTTAACGAAGAGAAGGACGAGGGGGGACATGATAGCAGAGTTCCAATATCTCAGGGGCTGCCACAAAGAAGAGGGAGTCAAGCTATTCTCCAAAGCGCCCGAAGGCAGGACAAGAAGCAACAGGTGGAAACTAATCAAGGAGAGAAGCAACCTAGAACTAAGGAGAAACTTCCTGACAGTTAGAACAACCTGCCTCCAGAAGCGGTGAATGCTCCAACACTGGAAGTTTTTAAGAAGAGACTGGACAGCCATTTGTCTGAAATGGTATAGGGTTTCCTGCCTGAGCAGGGGGTTGGACTAGATGATCTCCAAGGTCCCTTCCAACTTTATTATTATTATTAGTCCAATATCAAAGCAAGGCTGGTTCCAGAAAAGGATACGTCTATGGTTCACTTTGAGACATGTTGACTAGAAGCTTTGGCCTCATACAGGTTAATCAGGCTTTCAGGGGCTCTCTGTAGCTTCCTCAAAATGTTGGAGGCTAGCAAATAATTAGGATCTCTTTTTTTCCCCAAAAGGAAAAAAAAATCCCTCCTCTTTCCTTAATCAGTAGAAGATGTTGCTGACGGTGCTTTCCTCTTTTTTTTTGATATCAGTAGAATCTTTCAGAAGACCATCCATCAATCAGAATAGAGCTGGAAGGGACCTTGGAGGTCTTCTAATCCAACCCCCTGCTCAAGCAGGCGACCCTGCCCGATCTCAGACAAGTGGCCGTCCAGTTTCTTCTTAAAAACCTCCACTGATTGAACCATCACGAGAACAGTGATGGGGGGAGAAAGTGCACGTTTCAAATCCTCCCTCCCACCAGCTGAAAATGTAAAGCCGATCATAGGAATTCATGTGGCTAATTTATCCTGGCTCTAAGAAGTCCGACACAAACTGGGCAAGAGAAGATATATTGCCGTTCATAAATTCCCCAATGCGATCCTAACGAAACCCACAGTCGACAAATGCCAAGTGTTATACTATTGCAACATTTTGCAGAGACTTCACGTCGTTCCTTAACACCGTTCTCAAAAACAGGAAAGTCACTGAAGTTTATTTTGTGATGATAAATGTGTTGTTGGGGTGGGCTGTGCAGGGGAAGACCCTCCTTGTTGGAGCGTTTGCAGCAAAAGCCAAAGAGGGCTTCATCTTGACTAGTCCATCTGCTCGGTGTCACAGCCCAACACCTCCATCCTCAGCGCAATGTGTTTGTTCCACACGAGTGGGTGTATCCTCAGGTATTTGGCAAAGAATGGGACATCCAGAAAGTTCATCACGGGCTGGAAATAATCGTGATTTCCCTGGAAAACCTGAAAAATGAGAGGATCGTAACTGTAGCTTTTCTCAGGCCTTTTCACTGATAAAGAAAGAATGAATTACGCAGACATGGTACCGACCTGTTTCTCCCCATGTTGAAGAATGGGTGTCCAGTTTTTTCCATCCATGCTGCTGGAAAGAGTAAACTCCTTTACAAACATATGGGTGAAGACAGACTTGGCACCTTGAGTTATTAGTCCTGTCACCCGAAACGTCTTCTTAAAGTTCACTTGAAGCCACTCTGCTGTGCTGTCAACCTGGGGAAGAGACGGAAATTACAGTCGCTCCATCCTTGGAAAACCAAATTTCAGACTTCCTAGTTTCTTTTATTGATCACAGATGATGTTGAAAGAATGCAGGTAATCCTTGACTTACCAAAGTTCATTTAGAGGCCGTTCACAGTTAAAACAGCAGTGAAAAAAGTGACTTGTGACCGTTTTTCACACTTACAACCATTGCCGCATCAAAATTTGGAAGCCTAGCAACTGGTTCATATTTATGATGGTTGCGGTGTCATGTGGTCCACTTTTGTGACCTTCTGACAAGAAAGGTCAAGGGGGAAGCCAGATTAACAACCTTGCTAACAACTGCAATGATTCAACTTAATAATTGTGGCAAAAAAAGATTGTAAAATGGGACAAAACTTAACAAATGTCTTGATTAGCAACAGAAATGTTGGGCCCAATTTGTGGTTGAACATCAAGAACGACCTGTATTAAATAAAAAGAGCAATGGACACCTGGAGGCAGCAAATCACCCAAAATGGTTGCCCCATCCCATGAAAAAGGCCCAACGGGACATTTATCCAGGATCTGGGAGAGAAGAGCCATCTTTTTAAGACCCATTTAAAGATAGGCAAGAGGGGACTGTACAAATTAGTTGGGCAGAACTGTGGAAAATGCAAAACTATCATTGCAGCTGGAACGGAAGGAGCCAAAATAAAGGAAGACACAGTGCATACAAATGAGAAACTACGGGGTTTGGGAAGGAGGGCTTAGAGAAGGGAATTGAATTCTGGGAGTTGAAGTCCACCCATCTTAAAGCTGCCACATTTGGGAAAACACGGTTATAGACATCCGATTTACCGTTGGTCTCCATGCATTTATTCTTCCTTTCAGATTGAGCCGGGCCAAAAAGGGAGACCAAGTAGCGAATGCATTGTCAATCCAAGAGGAGGCAGTAATCTGTTCATTAGAAATGGAGTTGCTCTCTATTCCTAGTGGCATGGAGCAGCCTAAAGGGAAAGAAAATAGACAAACCTAGTAATCCTCATTTAGAACATAGAATCATAGCGCTGGAAGGGTCCTTGGAGGTCTTCTAGTCCAAGACTTGATTAAGGCAGGAGACTTTATATATCATCCCGGTCAAATAATTGTCCACTCTTGTCCATTTAGCTTCAGTAGCCTCTTTTCTCTACCTCTATCCCTTGTGCCAGATCTTCATTCCTTGAATGGCATTCAGCTGTATACATTGTATACCAACTGCTTTGGATCCGAACCCTCGTTGCCTTCATCCTGGGAACAAGCCCTGGTTGATAGTGATTTGATGGGCAACATGCCTGCAAGGAGGATCTGTTGATCCGTCAAGTAATGCCCCCACCAGAAAGGGACTTTTTGGCACCATAAACAGGATTTTTTTTAGTGGAGGTCCTGTTGATCAGTATTGAGATGATCAAGATTCTTACACTGAAATGGCTGACATAAAGGGGACAGGTCCTGTGTGTGGGGAAGGATGATAGAGAAACCCCCAAAGATTCTTAAAATAAAGCTTGCTCAAAATACTTATTGCTATAGGATGTGGGGCACTGATATTTTCGTAACTTCTTTACTGTCATACAGACATTGGGTTTCCTGTTTATGTAACCAAGTGCAGCATAAAAGCATGTTAAATCAATCATTCAGGGTTTTCCCCAGGCCTATGGGAAGACCCACCTTTGTCCAGATCTGAACAAACATGTGACTCAGAGAGAACTGGACTCTGTCTCTTTGTTCGCACCAAGCTGGATCTAGTACCCCTGACTAACACTCCATCTTTGGGACTTTTTTTTCCAAAGAAGCTTGCCTGGGGCTGAACTGATTACTTCTTGGGGGCAGAGAAAAGCTGATACAGAATATAGAGTCATTTAAAGTGCAGTGATTCATGGATTCAGTTCAGTTCCCAGTAGAGCAGGGGTGTCAAACTCAATTTCATTGAGGGCCACATCAGCATTGTGGTTGCCCTCGGGTGTGTGTGTGTGTGTGTGTGGCCAGGGTGAGTGCAGCCTACTGGGTGGGCATGGATGGAGTGGGTGTGGCCTACTGGGTAGGCATGGCCAGCTCTACATCATTCGCATCAAGGATGCCTGTGGGGGTCTGGGCAGGAGTGGGACAGATCTGAGGACCTCTGGCAGAAGGGGGTGGGACCGCGGCAAGCACCAAGGCATGGTGCATTTCTTCATTCCTCACAAAGGGTGACACCTCCCCAGCATGCACCCAGGGGGCGGGGCCAATGCAGCAGGGGCTGGTTCCTCGCTGTTTCTGGACGGCCTTGTGGAGCTAAGACTGAATGTGTTTCAGCATAGATGGCCACCACAAAACTGTACATTGGCTCCCGGCCGGCCTGGGCCAGGGCCAAGGCAGCGGGGGCTGTTCCCTCACTGTTTCCAGGATGGCTTCGCGGGCCACATGAAACCACTTCGCGGGCCATATGTTTGACATGTCTGCAGTAGAGGGTTTGAACCCCACTGAATAAAATTTCATGATGATCCCTAAAAAAAAAAGATGAAATCAGTCACTGCTTGCTAGTGTTCGCCACCACTGATCTAGGTGCATCCTGTTAGTCTCAGAGATCCCACTGCCTCAACAATCCCACCGTCCTATGAATGGAAGAAGGAAGAAAGGTCTCGTTCCATACTGTTCAGGTCACAGCCTAGCAGCTCCATCCTCAAAGTGTTGCGAAAGTTGAAGTGCGTTGGGTGGAGTCGGAGATAACGGGCTACAATGGGCGGGTCGAAGGCATTGTCTTTCACGCTCACTCCATCCACGTTTCCAAAGAATATCTGCAGGCATGAAGGGAAAAGCAGCTCTATTGACATCGGGGCATGTAAGGGAAGACAAGAGCTGTTATTAGGGGCTCTGCGTGAAATCCACACCCTGAGGTAGACAGCAATCTATCTTCAGCATAAGTGGAAAGAGTGAGAAACGTCTGGTTTGCATCAGAGCCAATCTGGTATAATGATTAAGTCAAGGCTAGAAACTGGTAGACTGTGAGTTTGGGCCCAGAGTCTAACTGGTGTAATAATAATAATAATAAAGTTGGAAGGGACCTTGGAGGTCATCAAGTCCAACCCCCTGCTCAGGCAGGTAACCCTATACCATTTCAGACAAATGGTTGTCTAGTTTCTTCTTAAAAACTCCAGTGTTGGAGTATTCACTGCTTCTGGAGGCAGGTTGTTCCACTGGTTAATTGTTCTAACTGTCAGGAAGTTTCTCCTTAGTTCTAGGTTGCTTCTCTCTTTGGTTAGTTTCCACCCGTTGCTTCTTGTCCTGCCTTCAGGCGCTTTGGAGAATAGCTTGACTCCCTCTTCTTTGGGGCAGCCCCTGAGATATTGGAAGACTGCTATCATGTCCCCCCTCGTCCTTCTCTTCGTTAAACTAGACATACCCAATTCCAGCAACCGTTCCTTATATGTCTTAGCCTCCAGTCCCCTGATCATCTTTGTTGCTCTTCTCTGGACTCTTTCTAGAGTCTCAACATCTTTTTTACATCGTGGTGACCAAAACTGGATGCCGTATTCCAAGTGTGGCCTTACCAAGGCATTGTAAAGTGGTATTAATGATCAGGCTGAGATGATCAGGCTGTGCCTAAAGGTGGGATCAAACATGCCACCCGTTTGGATTCGCTTCCTGCCCACAAAAGATCTAAGTCCGGCCCCCTTGAATTCCATCGACTCTTATCTAGTGCCAAGTTGCCTTGATCATTAGTAGTTCAGATTCTTGTGTATAGGTAACATGAAATGAACCTGTACTCCTTTTGAACTTTATCCTGGCTCCAGAAATCCTGGATTTCTTTCACTTGATGGCCAGTCTCCTTGGGCCAGTCCCTTTCTCTCAGCCCTAGAAAGGAGGCTATGGCCAACAGTTCTGAAAACCTTGCCAAGAAAACTGCAGGGATTTGTCTTGGTGGTCTCCAAGAGACACGATTGAACAGAGGGAAAAAACCCCAAACCCTGGTTTGTATACAGCCCAATCCAGGTTCCATCCTCAACATCTCCAGGATGGACTCGAGGACCATCAACTTTCTAAATGTTCCTTGTTTCTTAGACTTACTATCTGTTTTGAATTCGTTTATTAGAAATGAAGCTCAAATCTAAAGGACTTCAGGGACAGGGCTCCGTAGTTTTCCTAGTTTTGCAACATGGAAGAGCTTTTCTACCACTTTCTCTGGACTGGCTTTTTGATTCCCCAATCTAACCTATGCCCCAATATTTTTCTGCCCGTCCAAATCTTAACCAGGTCAGGCCCTGCTTAGCCTCAGCCAAGCTCAGCTAAATAATTTGCCCCAGCTTGGCTTCTTCCCAGAAGATGCTAAAATATGAGTTGTTCCAGGGAGCTTTTGCTGATCAAACCAACCCGATCAAGGTTTGCTTTTTGTTAATTGTTAATTGAACCTTGAGGCTGTGGTAGTTACTGAGTTATCAATTTTGCCAGTTTGTTAAAGTATTACATGCATCTATCTTCATTTGCCTTACGGTGGATGTTTTATTGTGGCGTCTATCTTATTATTAACTGCCAAGCAGATTACATACAACCCCGCTGGAGAAATAAAGCACTGCCACCTCCTGTTGGTCATTCATGTATGCATCCCATTTATCAGCGTGTATAATCGGAGCCGTAAAGATCCCTGAAGTCCTGTGCCAAGCAAGTCCACATTCTGTGTTAATAAACACTGGATTCCTTTGAGGGGTATGCCAAATATTCAAATCACTGTGTTATTTTCTTGATCTGTTCTATTTTTGTAGTGGTTAAGAAAGACGGGAACATAGCTATTCTTTCATTCTTTCTCAGGCACAAGTAATCCTATTTAGCCTTTTTTTCTACCCCAGCTATAATGTTTTGGATTGAGGCTACTTTGCAGATTGAAGAATTATCTGACAACTGCAATATCAGGTGTAATGCAGCCTTTTCCATCCCAGATGTATTAAATTAATTGTTATTATTGCAATCGTCCAGGTGGAAACCAGCTTTAAACTTCAGTTCTGCAGGTAGCCAATTTAAAGATTTGCAGTCTCAACATGTCTGAAGGGTACTGCTGCTTTTATGGATGGGCTGACCATCTTAAACATGCCTTCCAGCATGAAAGGATAGTTTGCATTCTCACCTGTATTACTACATTTACAAACAATCTTTCCGTTCTCTGATTACAGGAGAATCGCTAAAAAGTAATTACCATTTGAGAGCTGGTAGAATTGCCTTTATAACTCTTCCAATTCTCTCCATCCAGACTATAGAAGATGACAAACTGGGAGATGTAATAGTTGGATAATCTCTGCCGCGCTCCTTGGGTTTTTATTCCATGGAAGATCTTGGGCTGGAGCAAGTCCACCTGGAGAACAAGGACACTCTTGTCTTTTGGAAAACAAAGTTTCTATAAAACATCTTTCCTCAATTTTCAGATGTTTGGGATCGCACCTCCCAGAGTTCCAAATTCAGCACCGCCTTCAGCAGTCATGAACTCAACCCACATTGAAAAAGGCTACCATGTAGAGAGTTATTGGCAGATGGAACAGAATGGACCGCAGCTAAATATATCAGTGGCCTAACCAAGTAAAAAGTAGCTTTATGTGTTCACGAAACAAACTAGAAAAGCAAGATAGATCATGGCATCTTCAACTTTTCCATCCTGAAGGACGAGAAATCAACAGCATGCATAGGGAAGGGAATGATTTAGGCTACAGGATTCAAATGCATTGCTTCTCACGCACTGGCAAATGATAAAGTGGGGCGTAAAGTCTTCCAGAATGTTATGAGAAAAGGAAGGCTGTTTACATAATGATAATTATCTGCCGATGTTGCCTATGTCAAAAGGACATTTGTCCATTAAACCAAAATGGCTGTTGACCATCATTCACACCAGCCTTGGTCTCCTTAGGAGATGTTGACGTCCTACTATCCTCAAAGAACCCACTGCTGATTCTGGTCCTGGGATTCCCTCCTAATATATACACACTACATAGTAGGATACATGAACCCTCTGTCCTTTTACCTCCTTTTAAGATCAAATATCACCATTTAAGGTGATTTAAAGGGTGACTGTCATTTCAAGTGGTGGCAGAGGAATCATTGCTATCCAGTTATATTAGACCTGATCTAGGACCTGAAAACTGCTGCTAATAAATAGCGCTGCTAATAGTGCTGCTAATAAAGCTGCTCATCTTAAATAGTGTTACAAGATCTAGTTTTTGTGTAGACGACTCGGTCCCTGGGGTGAATTACTTTCACTTTCTCTGTTGTCTAAAAGAAGAAGGGCACCTGATGATTCTGCATCCTATTATGCCTGCTTGTTATTTACCTGTAGAATCTCTCCATCCTAACGATCAAGCCTACCTGGATCCAGGAGTTCTTTTGGTCACTCCTCCAAGCATTGATTGACCCAGATTTGTCCAACCTGGCCAGACTGGGGACCCATTCACCTTGGACCAAAGGAAGAAGACAAGAGACTAGAACCTGAAGATTTAGCAAGCTTTTGCCTTCCAATAGCTAATATTCCTTAGTGGTGGATCTTGGATTGGACCTTAAGACCAAAGCCAGGGGTTCCTACCCACGTGGTGACACAAATAAGGCAGAAAATAAATAGCCAATGGGGCAGCGGTAACCAAAAATGGTGTCAGTAATTAAGAGAGAGTGATGATGACACTCATTGGGGTAACCATGCAATAATATTTCCCCAAACTACTTATATTAAGAGAGATGGAATAGATGGACTGGTGATGGAAGCAACCAGCCAAAAATATATATAATTGAATATAATGTTATGATTTCATTGAATATTTGTCAGCCTTGTTCACAATAAATATCCCTAGACAATATCTGCATAAAATCCCCATTTTTTAATTAACAGAACCAAAAAAATATAGAAGAAAACCAGGATCCAATCAGGGAAGAATGCAATATTCAATTTCTCACCATAGTGTCCTGAAGCTGTGATCTGAGAGTCGGCAATATATCCAGAAGCTAAGCCTAAAGGACTCTGGCAATCTGAAACCAAAGGGTAAAAAGTACGGTGACAAAATGACCATCGATCACATGACCGATCCAGTTTTGAAGTATCTTTTGTGACAGTCATTAAGCAAACATGACAGTGGTAAAAAGGGCAGCATGGTCATTAAGCAAATGCTTTAGTCATGAAGCAAGCCAATGGTTCACTACGGATGTGGTTTTGCCAAAAACCAGAAGTAACTGCTAGTTTTTGGCAAAACTATCATTAATATGGTCATGGGGCTGTGAGACATGCAGCCATGTTGCCAGTGGCTGAAGTGTAGTCACGTGACCAGGGAGGGGGAGCAATCTCAGAACTTTGGATCCAGGACATAAGCCTCCTTTTTTGGGGTTGGATATAACTTTCAATGGTTGCTACGTGACCTTCACAAGTCAAGGACTACCTGTAGATCTTCGTTGTTGAGGAACTGCTCAATGTCTTACCCTTGTTGTACACGAGGAAGAGGGCACTCATTCCTGCCTGTTCGTGCTCACTAACCGCACACTCCACCCGCCAAATTCCAGGATGAGATGGACGCATTTCCACTGTCTCGAAGGCACCTATCAGAGATTGCAAGAATAATAGACGATTAACAAATCTCTTGTTCTGGCTGCTAAGTTATATGGAACAAGATTTCACATATCTTGAAGGGCATCAAGGCACATTGCAGAGATCTGGTGGGATCTTCATCTAAGGAGCTTCCTTCAGCTCAAGAAAGTGATTGCTTTGGTCCCAAAAGTCTTCCCTAATCTATAGAAAGAATTAGTGCACTAGCTGAGGTCAGAATTTGTACTGGAAACAGCGACTCCCAGGACAAGTGTCTGGAAGCTCTGACTAGTAATATTTTATAGAAGACAGGATAAAGTTAGGATGCATGAATTCCAAGTGCTCTGTATTCAAATTGTATACAGCCAATCTAAGATATCAAAACTTTGGCCTGTCTTCTAATGTTTTTTCAGCACAAAGTTGTGTTTGGTGAAAGTCTATCTCTACTGATGATTGGATAACTGCTGCTGGACATCTTATCCTACTCTCCCTGCTTCATGCCATCATCTGATTATGTAAGGATAGTGTCAATGCCCATTTTACAAGTCATCTTTAAGGATTACTAATACACTTGTAAAGCATTGATGGCATAGTAATAAAGAGGAGGAGGAAGAAGAAGAGGAAGCTGCTTCAATGGATTGTGGATTCCTCACATGTTTAGTTCTATTTACACAATTTCTACCCCATTGAATTGATTCTGCTTAAGCAGACCCCGGAGAACTGTCTGTCAGGAATAATCTAGCTGCAAGATTTCTACACGGTGAAGGGGGTTGAAGTAAAATGATTTCTAAGATCCATTCTAGGGTTCTCCCAGAAATAAAGGGAGGAAATATCAAAGATGGCAAAAGTTCTAAGCTTATTTGTATCTCTGTAGGTCAGTTTTCCTCAACCTCAGTGACTTTAAGATGGGTGGACTTCAACTCCCAGAATTCATGACTGGCTGGGGAGTTCTAGGAGTTGAAGTCCACGCATCTTAAAGTCGCTGAGCTTGAGAGAACCTGCCGTAGATAATTTAGCTGTTTCAAATGCTTTCAATTGAATCTCTGAACTGAGCAGCAGAAAACTGAACTTGAGGACTTATGTGGTTGCCTCCGAGTCTGTCATTCTATGGTTGTTCTTGCTAAATTCAGGCGCGGACCAGCAAAGGGGGTGCCTGTTTAACCACTCATACTGTGCCTCACCGGGGAAGAGATTGTAGATGGCCATACGGTACTCCTCGGCCATTCGGATGGTGAAAACTTGCCCATGGAAATGGACAGCGTGGATGTCCTCAATACCACCTGCATTCAGCAGATACCACCTGACCCGCTGATGTAGTCCCATCACCAGCCCTGGCAACGTGTCTCTCACGTGGCCATTGATCGCTGGGGAAAAGAGAATGGAGAACGTCCAGGTTGAATTCAGCCGGGTCTTAATTAGCAATTTAAACTCTAGGTACAATTAAGGAAAGCGGGGTGAGAGGAACGTCACCATTTATGCCTGCTAGAAAGGAAGACAGAACAGCCCTTTTTTTTTAGAAGATTGGAAGGGCTGCTCATTCCTGGGAGCTCAGCAGCAAAAAAGAAAGCATTGAGGGGACCACAACCCAAAAGAAGATTTATCGGTAGGCCTCCACTGAAGACCACAGTTGAGCCCAAAATTTCTTAACGTTTGTTAAGTGAACGTTGCCCTGTTTTTACGAGCTTTCATGCCAAAGATGTTAAGTGAATCATTGTTCAGTTAGTAACCCGGTTGTTAAGTGAATCTGCTTCCCCATTGACTTTGCTTGTCAGAAGATTGCAAAAGGGGATCCCGTGATCCCGGGACACCACAAGCATCATAAATATGAGTCAGTTGCCAAGTGTATGAATTTTGATCACGGGACCACGAGGATGCTGTAATTGTGAAAAGCGGTAATTGTGGAAAGCGGTCATAAGTCCCTTTTTCCAGTACCGTTACAACTCTGAACGGTCACTAAATGAGCTGTTGTAAGCCGAGGACTATCTGTATTTGGGAGGGGGCAGCCATGTTAGTTTGGTTTTCCTAACCATTCCTTTGGGAGACCAGGAAGAGAAGCAGGAAAGAACGGGGATGGAAGGACTATCCTTACCATAGAAGGTGTGGTTGCTTTTAAGGACAGGATCGTCCATCTGGATGTGGCAAGGAGATGGGCAGCTCTTTTCAAAGTTCTCAGCAAAATACCAGCTCTTGGTTTCATCAAAGATGGTGAAGAGTAAGGAGAATTCCTGAATAGCCAGTTGTCTGATGTGTGTGGTACGGATCACCGAAGCCTGGCAAATAATCAGAGGTCCAATAAGACCGGAATGCAGGTCTTTTTCCTGGAACAGAAGAGGGAGGAAGAGAATCAGAAAAAAAGAATGACATTGCCTCAGAACGGCCTTATTTTTAAAGGACATTTCATTCAGAGCATCCAGCTTGCTGGTGTCTTTGTTTACCATTAGCCCTTGAAATTATCTTTTTTATTATTTGCTTTGAATGTTAATATATTTGGCTTTCATGCTGGCTTTTCAGTTTACAGTTGTAAGTGTATAATTTACAGCAGAGATGTAATATGCTTAACTAACTCAGCTAACTATTTTAATTTGTGCCGAAAGAGCTGGCTTAGTTAATAAGTCACTGTTTTATTATAAACCAGAAAACTGGGCATACGTAAATGTACAGTGGCCACACATCCTTTATTATACAAGACAGTCCTTTGGGTTTATTTATTTATTCACTTGTCTCCTTTATTTGGGTCATTTCGTAGGAGAGCAAAATTTAAATCTGACAGAACGCCCCCCCCTAACTTATTCTGCACATGCAAACAGGGATTGTGGTGCTTAACCTGATCTGAGTTTCAGGTTTCTGTGCCTCTAAACTTCTGATGTTGGTAACCCCAGTAGAAAATAAGAATTCCCCATTTACCAGGTTAACGCTGGAAAAGTAGGCCCATGCTCTGCAGTCAAATTCAGTGGAACCAGGAGCCATTTCAGGCAACACTTTGAGGGAGTACTGGCGAACTTGGTTTGGCTGAACAGCTTCTGGCTTCTGGCCTTCTCCATCATCCTGGCTCCCTTCATAGGGCAGCAAGTTCGAATGGAAAGAATACGGTCGGGAAGCCATGTTCTTGAAAGTCACCTAATAAGAGGGAGAAACATGAGAAGTAGAATATGAAGAAGGCTGAGGAACCCGCAGACTTTGGGCTAGGGGAGACCCTTAAACTTTCTTCTTTGTTCTCTAGGAGCTGCGGTGGTGCAGTGGTGAGAATGCAGTATTGCAGGCTAACTCACTGCTCACTGCCAGGAGTTCGATCCTGACCGGCTCAAGGTTGACTCAGCCTTCCATCCTTCCGAGGTCAGTAAAATGAAAAATGTAAAAAAGTAAAAAAGATGCTGAGACTCTGGAAAGAGTACAGAGAAGAGCAACAAAGATGATTGGGGGACTAGAGGCTAAAACATATAAGGAATGGCTGCTGGAATTGGGTATGTCTAGTTTAATGTAAGAAGGACGAGGGGGGACATGAGAGCAGTCTTCCAGTATCTCAGGGGCTGCCACAAAGAAGAGGGAGTCAAGCTATTCTCCAAGGCGCCTGAAGGCAGGACAAGAAGCAACGGATGGAAACTAACCCAGGAGAGGAGCAACCTAGAACTAAGGAGAAACTTCCTGACAGTTAGAACAATTAACCAATGGAACAACCTGCCTCCAGAAGTGGTGAATGCTCCAACACTGGAAGTTTTTAAGACTGGATAGCCATTTGTCTGAAATGGTGTAGGGTTTCCTGCCTGAGCAGGGGGTTGGACTCGATGACCTCCAAGATCCCTTCCAACTTTATTATTATTATTATTATTATTGTTGTTGTTGTTGTTGGCAATAGGCTGACTCTGTAAACCACTTAGAGAGGGCTGTAAAAAGTACTATGAAGCGGTCTATAAGTCCTTAAGTGTTATTGCTGTTGCTATTCTTTAGATAACCGACGAAACCATCAACAAAACCAATTTGAAGCAAGATTGGTCCTCTATGAGCTATGAGAAACAAAAATTTTCCAGAGGTCCTTTGACCAGAATGATTGCAACTGTACCTGTGTTTTGAATGATTTGCTGGTTATCAGTTTTAATTTAAGCTATGGATGCTTTATTTTTCTTTTTTTTACCACGGACTCTTAGGATTGTGATGAGTAGAAACAAGCAAATAAAATCAAGGATTTTTCCACACTTCTTCAAAAAGCTGATTTCATCTGTCAGCTTTTGGATGTGAGTTACACACCAGAAGAGTAGAACAAACCAACCCCCCAGATTCTGACATTGCTCGCAAAATAAACTGTTATCATCTACATTGGCTGGTTCCCATTTAGAGAAGGAATAAAAAGGGAAGAAGGAACCAGGGCCATCTTTTATCCCACAACTCATCATGAGGTTGTCAGATGTTTATCCAATATTTTCATCTTGGAACTAATTTTCACTTTGATGTCCTCAGATGGCTGAGCTGGACATCACAAAGAAGGTAGGATAGACTCGCAGTGTTTCTCAACCTTGACAATTTTAAGGCATGTGGACTTCAACTCCCAGAATTCCACAGCCAACATTGCTGGCTGTGGAATTCTGGGAGTTGAGGTCCACATGCCTTAAAATTGTCAAGGTTGAGAAACACTGCTCGATCAATAAATGGCAAATGGTGGGAGAAATAAATTAAAATAAGGACTGTAACAAGATTGATGATAAGGCAATCCAAATGAATGGAAAGAAAAGAAATGTATTAATATGATGATTATTTTTTAGGAATATTGGAAAAAAGTATATACTAAATTGTCATTTATTAAAATAACAAGAATTGTATTAACGCAATGTTTGCAAAAAAGGATGTTTCAGGGAAAGAGGAAAGTAAACAAAATTAATATATGGAATACAGACTATAGAAATTAATTGTTAAGGACTGTTTTTACAAATGTAACCCAGACATCACAGTGTTTACCAACTATTGAATGACTTATGCTTGTGTAAAAATTTTATAAAAAATATAATAATAATTTTTAAAAAATGGCAAATATAGGAGTGGGATTTCAAAGGCAAAATATTCCTTTTTTTTTAAAAAAAAAAGTCCAGTTTAATTATGGGAGATTTGACCCGCTAATATTTTCCACCCACACCCCTATATCTTACCAAGATTGTATCTTCAACCTGTCCATGGATGTATGGTCCCAGAATACCCAGATGTTCATCTAGCTCTCCACGGACCATCTGTCGGGTAAAAGTGCTGTCAAAATATTCTTGGAAAACAACTTTCTTATAACTTCTAGAGAGCTTTCTCCAGCTGGTCCTCGGATCACTGTGCATAGAATACAAGCAACTGGTATGATGAAATGAAACTTTTCTAATTCCACCCAGAACTAGATAGGCTAAAATTATATGCAATCTGTAATATTTCTCCATCTTTTCTCTCTCGTTAGTCTTGTTAGTCTGACTTCTGCCCAAGTCCTCTGCAATTAGTTCTTCTTATGCTTCCTGGTAGTACTTTTTAGTTATCCTACTTGGTCAATTATAACTCTTTGTTAGCTTGAGCAAACAAACCTTCTTTTCTCAAGTCTTTGGTGAATATTTCCATTTACAAAATGGCAGCTGTTCTACTATTCCGAAATGTGGAACCACAGCGACAGTTAATGGCAAAGAGCACAAAGTGAATGTTCAACGACACCCATGAATTCAGTCATAACTGTTACCTCTGACTTTTTGTTCTCTTTCTACAATCAAGCGGCAGTACTGATCTATCAAAAACATTTCCTGACAGTGAGAGAACAATTAACCAGTGGAACAGCTTGCCTCCAGAAGTTGTGGTTTGATCTATCACTGGAGGTTTTTAAGAAGAGATGTGACGACCATTTGTCTGAAATGGTATAGGGTCTCCTGCTTGAGCAGGGGGTTGGACTAGAAGACCTCCAAGGTCCCTTCCAACTGTGTCATTCTGTTCTTTAAGTCAATACTGACTTTAAATTACAAATAAAAACAGGATTCAAATCCCATTTAGCCACAAAGCCCACTGAATGACCTGAGCAATTTAGGCAAAAGGATGGGGAAAACTTACTTGTCTCTCAGATATGGGGAGGGAATAGAGCTGCCATAATCCCATGTCACCTCAACCGCAGCAATGTAATATTGTCGGATTTTCCCCGTGAACATACGGGGATCCTGTTCATCTTCATAGATATCAAAACCTTCCTTGGTCTCCTCTGTATTGCTATATTCATCATAGTCAGATTTCTCTTTCGTAGGTCTTGAGAATTTTCCTCCTGCTGGTTGGTTGACATCTAAGGAGGTTCTGGAGACCTTCACATGAAACCCGGTCCCTGAATCCTTGCTGAGTGAGATTCCCACTTCTTCTTTCCCTTTGAATACTGCTGTTTCATCTCTTGAGCTGGGAGTCTCTCTTTGTTCATCATTCAACCCATTCATTTCTACTGAGCTATTGGGTTCCTTCAACAGCTGCCCTTGAATGTTCTGGTTGGACGCCAGAAGGTCTTGAGAGAGCATATTATTTGCTGATGGAGTTTGTTGTGAGATGTTCATCTCCTGTCTTTTAATGGTAGCCTTCAAAGATTCATTTCTTGACGTTTGTTCCCGATCTCCACTAGACTTCCTCAGCTGCAGTTGCAAAAGATTTTCTGGGCCAGTTTGTCTCATAATTGGTGCATCTTTGGGAGGGCTAGATGTATGTGCTTGTTCTGTGTCTTTTGGAGAGATAAAGTTGACTTCTGAAATATTTCCTTCTGGAAAATCATTTGAAATCAGTCCTTGCCTTGTTTCCCTATGATGGAGCCTTGTTTCTGTTCTAAAATGACGAGGAATCACAGTGGTGTTGATTACATTCTTCATTGCTGGGGATAAGCTTAGGTTATATTGGATTATGTTCCGTAGAGAATAATACAAAGCTGTGGTTCTGCCATCATTTGTTATTTGATCATCTCCTTCAGCTCTACCTGTTAAGGGAGGTCTTGTTATAGAAGATTCAGTCTTACTGCTTGTCTCAAGGAAGTTGAGCAATGGCTGAACTCTTTTATCACTCTTGTTGGAAGATTTTGCTTGGACGTCTGCTCTAGCAGCTATTTCATCCAACGCGACTTCCTGTGATTTTGCAGACCTCTTTCCCAAGTGTCTATTGCAACCGTGGGACTGATGTGGACAAGTCACTGACTTTGTCCCATGTGTTGACATTTCTAAACTCCGTTGGTTTAGTTTTGACTGACTCTCTGCTGGGTTAGAACTGATACTCCTTCCCAGGCCAGCTAACTGTGACGGAGAGGTTCCTTCTAGGCGTGAAATATCCCCTTTCCCAGATACATTTACCTGGGGAATCCTTAAAATTGACCTACTTTGCGTAACATTTTGCTCCACAAATACATTCAAGGCTCCATGGGAATTTGTGACACTGGTCTTACCGGGTGCAGCCTTGAAACTGGGCAAAGATTCTTTTCCTTCCAGGTGCTTGTCTTGGTTGATTTCTTCAAAATCTCCTTGTAGAGGAAAGCTATCTCTTTTAGTATTAGTAGAAGAGAGAATTATAGGGGACCTATCATTATCATTTTTGATATTGTTATCATGGAGAGGCCTGTCCATAATATCATATAAGGGGTTTTGTCTGTTCAAAAGATTTGGCAGTCTCGCAGTTGGATTTCTCTTGAGCTCCGCAATCTTCTCCCTCTCGTTATCTTGAGGAGTCTTCCTCAGAGGCTTTGCATCGATGGCTTCGTTGTGGGACACGATGTGAATGTCATTATTACCAAGGGAAAGAAGTTCACTTGAAGATGTAGAGTTCCCAGCACCATCGGTTGGCCTGTGAATTCCTACACCAATAGCTTTTCTATCTAAATTGGCTGAACTTGCCAACGAAAGGTTATTATGATGTGATATTTCCTGTGCGAGCGCTGAGTTTTCTGAAGGAGAGTGTTCTTCAAAACTTTGCTTCAGTAGGGGCAATTGTTCTTCTACGGGGAAAGCATCCTTGGGCAAGATGTCAAAAAAGGGCTCATCTCGTGATACGGGTTTCCCAGGAGAGATGAGTGGACCAGTGGAATTCTTGTGACGGTTTTCTTTGAGAAGATGGTTAGATTGCTGGAGGCAGTTCAGCCTCCCATCTTCTGAAAGTGAAGTAGCATTCAGATGCTGGTTTGGGCATAGTTGGAGATGTCTACTTTTCTTGGAGAAGCCTCTTGCCTGTAGGATATTGGCTTCATTGATATAATCGGATGGAATGCCTTCATCGTAGTACTCTTCATAGTCCTGGTCAACATACTCTTCTTGGCGACATACAAAAATACTTAACTTAGCTCTCATTCCTTGTTTTCGAAAATCAGGATTCAAGCATCCCAGCATCCATCTGCCTGTCTCAGAGAAAAGGAAAAACCAAACCAAAAAAAACACCAAGAAATAAAATGAGAGGAAGATTTAAATAACATACAGATTATATCAGAGATGCATAATCTGGGACCTCAGAGTTAATATGACCTGGAAACCATGAAGAAACCTTCAAACGTTATTACCAAATTGTTGCAACCAGAGAAAAGATTTAAGTTGGGGACTGTGACCTCTAGCATGCCAGTCAGAAACCAAGAATGGCCTTCAGCCTTCAAAAGGGTGCACACTTGTCAAGCTTCTAGTAACATAATACCATCCAGAAATAAAGATTCATAATGAATTTCATTGATCAATCTTTTTATTGTCAAGAAGGTCATTGTGAAAATGGAATAGGTCAAGTGAATTCATTAAAGTGGTTCTGAGAACTATTTAACATTGACATTGAATGCAAGATGGCTTGTCTTTTTGCTAGATAAGACTGAACTGAAATGTCCATCACTTCTTCATTAATAATATTTTCAATTAATTCCATTTTTTCCAGTCCTAAAGATCTAAAGATCTCCCTGTTTTATATCACTCAACATTTGCTGCACTTTTTGCTAGCTATAATTCTTAACTGTCAACGTTTAGGAAATATCTAAAAGTTAGGCAACTTTCTTTCCAGGTGAGTTTTTTTTTTAATTGTGTCCTGGGATTTGGATGAAGGGACTAAATGATGTTAAACGTTTATAACTCTCATATGTTTTCCAATTATTTTCATCCAGAATATCTGGAGGACATCTGTTGGATTCCAATTTGTAGCAACATCTGCCCTATGGTCAATGGTCAGGAAGGGTGGGGATTCTAACTCATCAACCTCCGAAGGCACCAAGTTTCTTCAAAGAACAATTAATGTCAGCCTAACCTGGATTATCCATGGACATGATAACTGTCTCGCCAGAGAAGGGGTAGATTGCCAGGACCTCCTCAGAGACTGTGTTGTGCTTAAAAGTGTTTCCAGAGAAGAAGACAGAGAGGACCTCACTCTGGGCACCCACATTCAGGACATACCAATATACCACTTGGTTCTGGCAGAGTTTCATTTGAAGATTATCAAAGACATATCCATTGATACCTGGAAGAAGAGGGAGAAAAAAGAATTATGAAGTAAAAAGAATTTCAACAACACTAAAAACCTTGTAGCACTCAAGGGAATTGATCCACGGAATATGGAAGGGACCATGTCATCAAAGACTGAACAACAATCTTATCACCTTCAGCCAGAATGGCCTCTAGAAAGTCCAGTTGTATCTAATGATCCGGGACTGGATCAGGGGAAAGCTCATCCAATTATTTATCATGATTGACGACATTATTATCATTTTGTATCTCATCTTTTTCCCAATGAACTTGAGGTAGGTTACATGGAATTCTGCCTTAGCTTTAACTTTACAATAACATTAGTCCTTTGAGATAGGACAGACGGAGAGAAAGAGTACTGTAAAGCCCAAAGTCACTCAGTTGCAGAAGACTTAAACTTGCAACTCTGGTCCGTAAATTAATCCCTACACTACATTGGTTCCCATTGAAAGGGGATAAGTAGTGGTTTCGCTATTTATACAGCTTTGCTCCAAAACAAATGTAAGGAAGACAGGAAGTTATACCCTCATAGAAAACCTGTCCCATAGAAGAAGAAAGAAACAACAACAGCCCATTTTCAATGTTTGAGTATATAAGGAAATTTGGTATCCAACTTGGAGTAGCACGATTAGATCTTCCACAACAACTTTAGCTAGAAAGACACATGTGACATTCTTATCATGTAAGAAAGGCACATGTGACATTCTTATCTTTCTTTCACTGTTCTCCACACCATTTTTTTTAAAACAAAAATAAAAATCTGGAGCCACTCACTGTACATGAGGTTGGATGCATAGAACTCAGCGTCTTGGGGATTAACATTGGCTGCATCGGAACAAGATTGCTTAATATTTTCTGACAAGTACCAGCTCCAATTTTCATTAAAGACAGAAAACAGCACAAATCTTGCTTCATCGGCAATCATCTGAAGAAATCACAAAAGTAGGGGATAAATGGGTCAGAATCTGGGAGGGGAATTAGAGATTAAGATGTTGGACCAGGAAGACCAACGATCCAAAGGTTTATTGTAAGATTGCCACGATCTTTCAACCCTGTCTATCTCATAGAATTCTTCTGGCGGAGAAAAAAAAGTGATAAGAGAGAGGTCTCCGCTCATTGAATAATGCCAGGTTATGGATCAAACGTTTCTAGTGAATTAGTTGCTGGTAAATCTGTCTTTCCTTCTCCAAAAAATGACCTCATTGAAGGACAAATGTTCTGGATCATAAATGACCCTGGCAACAATCTTCTTTGCAATCAAAGGAACAGTAGTTCTAAGGCACACACCTTGCTTTAAACTGTTGATGGTGGTCAATTAGCATCCTAAATCAGGTGGCTGAAATGTATTGGATGTGGCGTTGATTCTGGAACTGATTGAGAGATCTCAGTAGATGCAAAAGATCGTATGTTACAACATCTAATATAAAAGATGTTACGAAGAGTCACCATGCAGAATATATTTATTTGCTGCTCTTGTAAAATATTCTCCACCTCATTTCCAGTTCCATTCTAGGTATAATTTGGAAGTGCTATCTTTCACCCATTAAGCACTAAGATACTAGTAATAGCCAGTGGAATAGACTGCCATACAAAGTGGTGACTTCTGTTGTTTGAAAGTCTTCAGAGGTTAGATTGCCCTCTGTCAAAGATGCTACAACGGACCTGCACTAAGCAAGGAGTTGAACTAATAGTGCTTTTTTCTTCAAGATGATTAAGATGACATACATGATATAATCGTGTGGTTGACTGTCTTTGATAGTCTCAAAAAGACCTTGGGAACTTCCATGACTGAATCCCAATCCAATCCTTTAGCCATTACACCACCTTGGAAGCATGGTGAAAATGTAACACCAAATACCCTATTTATAAGATGTTTAAACACCAGATCTGGGAAAAAAACTACCACATTTACTTGATGCAACTCCACACGGATGGAGCTGAGGGCTGCATTTTAACCCTTGAGGGCTGCCAAAGAATTCTGAAGTCTCAATTCTCAAGAGAAGCATATAAAATTTCTTACATCCAGGCATAATGTGTGGTTAACCTAATGTTACTATTGGAACACCTCAGTTGTTTGTGCCATGATGTAGCAATAAACAAACCTGATTGCCTCTCTGATCCATGGTTTCTTTGAAACAGATCAGGAGGGGTCCGATAAGCCCAGATGCTAAGTCTTTAGCAGGTTTGATTGAGCTGTAATAGTAGCGAGTCAGGCAACTAGGATCAGATCTGGTCGGGCCATCCTCTGGCATTATCTTCCACCGGTATGCAAACACCTGTTTAGGCCGTATTGGTATCACCTTCATGTTCTGATCTAGGAAGAAACAAACCACAAAAATCACATGGTTCAGTTTCCTACTGGTTTGCCGTAACCACATTTATTGAACAACTAAGCCACCTGGTAGCCTAGATAGCACACCATGCTGTAAACCATGGTTTACAAAGCCCATTGGCTTTTATCAAGTGAAGACCAAGCTTAAAAATGCCCATATTGTGTAATGATATATAAGTACATATATGAGATAGGCAGCTATATAAATTTAAGAAATAAATATACATGCAGTCCATGATGCCAAACTGGCTATTCTGATGAGTCAAAAGTGATCAGAATAATGCAAACAAACTAGCCACACAACTCATGATTTGAAGCCCGCTGTATTCATAGTTAAGACTAGCTGACATTTATCCAGACTAGAAGAACACAATAAGTTGGACTTAATAAGTATAAATTGTTATAAATCAAGAGTCTGGTACCATCTTTTCTAACTAACACGTGTTATTATAAGACACAAACTTTGTTGAGTTGGAATGGGCTAGGATTAGGGTTAATTTAGTTTAATTAATTAGGGTTAATTAAGCCTCCTAATTTTTTTTGCTCACATAGACTTGACACTTGCCTCCTTGTGGCTCTTTTCCACAAGAGGGCAGCAATGGTCTTTTGAAATCCAGATGGTAGACACAAACACACAGACACACACAAAGTGTGGGGGACAGATTGCAGCCTTAGAACAGAAGGAAATGGTTTGATAGGAAGAAGTCAGACGCTACTTTCAACAAATAAAGCCCAGGAACGGTGAAAAGGAATTTTAAAGGAAATTTGACAATATTCCAGTTTTCCCCAACTATCAGAATAGCTGAGATTTGCAGACTTTAAAATTCATCACAAACTGGACGAGGCTGGCATCAGCGGCAGTTAGCATCTTTGCATCTCTGGCTTGATATTAAACTATAATCACCTTCCTAATCTTGAAAGATACAAAGCTGGCTTGAAGATTGAAGTAGGAAAACGTGGGGACAACCCTGATTGGAAGTAGTAGACATGAACTAGAAGAACCACCATTTCTGCTTTCTCCTTCTGATTAGGAGGCACAGAATACAGAATGTAACAGTAAGCAATAATGGGCATCTTACATTGGCCCCAACTGCTCCACTTCTCACGTTTGATTTAGCCCAGATCTGCAATGTTCAGATCAGTTTCACAGATCAAGCTGAGGTCTCAGCATGATCTGTGAACCATCTTGGCTGGTTTGATTCCTCCCTCCCTCACCCTACTTTCGGATTACTTGTGAATGCAGCAAGAGAGTCGTGCCCACCACCCTTCCACAGCCACTTTCCAAAAGATTCCCTCCTCTGCCAGTCTTACGTCGGGCACTTCCAACAGGGTGAAGTGAAGTGATACTGGTGATTCCGTGAGGGTAAATGTTGTATGGCCGGCTGGCCAAATTCTTAAACAGAATCTGAAACGAGACAGTTTGATATTCCATTCAGTCTCTTTGCAGCATTCTAGACGTGGAGCAATATACTGTGTCAAATCTACCAAAATAGATAAAAGACCTGGGACCTTCTAGATTAGGGGTGTCAAACTGCTGGCCTGCGGGCCAGATGTGTCATGGCGAAACCGTGCCCACCCCGTTGCTGGCAATGGAAAAAAAAGTCGTGATACGTTGCGATACGTCACGTGATGTTGCGAGTTTGACATCCCTGTTCTAGATCATATTTAATCCCAATTCTGCCATTATTAGAGGAATGTTGGGGTCCAGTAATATGCAGAAGAGTACTTTTTACACTTTTGAATACCAAAGAACGCTATACTTTATTTTTCCCATGCTTTGCAATCATAAATATTGCAATGAAAAGAATGGAAAAGTTATATTCCTGGAAATGTGTGATCTCTCTGTTTTGAAAAAGGCAATATTTTCTGCCAATCGAAAGATGCACCGATGTGTGTTATTATAGCAGCGATTTTGTGGCACTGTATCTTACAATCATACCTTGCATTGTTGATATTATAGCAGTGAATTTATTGTTAAATCAATAATTTACTTCCTTGTTTGTTTGTAGTTTAAATTTTTTAAGGTTACTTTTAGATCAAATTAAAGATTGTTGTGTTACCATAAATAAGTATCTTACATTTTTAACAAAATAATATGAATATACCACCTTTCATTAAGAATTTTTCTCAGACTTCAGAGTCATAGTAACTAGAATGAGTGAATTTCTCCTTTTATTCAAGCTTTTGTGGAATCTTGAAAACTGGTTGATTGGTTTGTTTGCCTATTTATTTATGCAGTGCAATCTTTTATCAATTGCTTATTTCCCTCAAGGACTTGAGAGTGTTTACAATCAATAAAAGCAATCAATTTACCGCTAATTAACTAAGGCAGACCTGGTGCAGTCAACATCAACACTGATATGTTCTATCAGGAAAAAAATGAGGCGCTTAATGAATTGGTGGAAAAAAGCAGAAAACAGGTCTAAAAAAGTCTTTGATCTAACTAACTAACAAATGTGAGTAGGCCAAACCTTTGGTGAATGCAGATTTTATTGATTTTAGATGATTGAATATGCATTATACCAGCATCCTATTCACTCTTGTAATATTTAGTACACTACACTATGCTATTTTATTTATTTTTCTCAGTCTCTTGATGAAGAGGTATTGCTTTGAAATGTGTTGGGACTTAATCATAACAAAGCCTTTGTTGTATCAATTTGCCTCATTTTTCATCAATTTAACATGGTATATTTCTTCTCTTGGCTCTCAACTTTCATGACTATTCCTAGGTCCAAAGTGGTCCTTTGTAAAAACAATTTCAAAGTATGCCCAAGTCAACAAACTGGTCAAACATGGCTGATAACCCTCAAATATTTTCCACCCCATAGAATAACTAAATGAACTGAACATTTCTGATAGAGTCCATTAAGATTTTGATATGGATTACTACAGAAGGATCCTTCTGTAGTTTTGATCGTGGAGCCTTGACAGCTCACCAAAGACTGAGAAAGCTATTAGACAATGGAACAGCCAAACTTCTGAAGTCATGGATGCTCCATCATCTGGAGGTTTCCAAGAAAAGATTGGACAGTCCTTGGTCTGGGATGATCTGAGGATTCCTTTCAAGGTCCCATCCATCCAAGCCTAGGGTTCTTTAATATTTTAAGGACCAAAGCATTCCCAGACTGGTCCAAGAGGATCTGTCTGCATGGCACCACTATTGATCATGAGAACATTCCCAGAGAAGAGCATCTCCTTTTCATCACTTACAATAAACTCGTCGCCAACTTCTCCTTTGAGGACAGGTCCCAGGATGCCCAAATGATCTGGTTTGGATGCCTTTCGCTTGCTGAAAGTCGCATCCTCATATTCCACAAACATGGCTTTCTTATACTTAGACCCGATCTGCTGGGGGCCATTTTCCAGAGATTTGCTGTAAGTGCTGCAGAGGAGAACAGAAAGTCATGGGTGCAAGTCAACAGAATATTAGATCTGTAATGGTTTAGCCACCATCAAGGCTAACACCAGCCAGAGCATGGAAAACCTCAAAGAAGTCATGTAAGATTGGAAGATGTGGAGAGACTGGTCCACAGAATTGCCAAGAGTTGGACACAACTGAATGGATAACACCATGACCAATGGTTTAGCAAGTCCCTAGTTATTCAAATGTCTTTTTATCCATTAGTTAAGCATCATTGAACCGCCAAAGACTATTCAACTTGACCCTCATTCACATGATGCTGATTATATTGCATAGGATGCTGCCAGACAATGATTTTCCAATGTGTTTTCCATACTGCTATAACCTGATCCCTCCTCCTTAACCTGTCATGATAGATTAAAGAATTAGCACTTTTCTTCCACTTCTTTTCATAGAAGCAGCAAGCCTCTAGTGTGTCCAATCCATACGTATTCATCTATCTCTGTCCTATTGGACAGTTGTCTACTTCTAATAGAGGCCAATCCTTTGATGATTCATCATCACCGTAGCTCCCTCTTTTTCTTCTTGTGCCATATCTGTTATCGGACGTTGGTGATCCTGTTGGCGATCCTGTTTTTATCAGCTGGAAAAGTTGGGGACCGCTAGTCTAGCAGACCTTGTAACTACAGGGAAGGAAACAGGACTGTTGCAAAAGTCAACCCAAGAAAGGCAGAAGTATGAGAAAGATTTATTCCACCTTAATTATGCTAGGTGCAAGTTGATCTGCAGAATTACTATAGTAATTTCAAGCGTCTGTAATTTACCATCGGTAACAGCCTTTCTTGTTTCTGAGTTTTCCAGTCACGAAAGGCTTGATACGAACGTCATAATTGCTTGAGGTCATTACCTGTCCAGATTAGTGGGCTTCACTGGGGCATAGTCCCAATCACCTTCCTCGGCAGCAATATAATGCCTCCAGGTCACGGGCAGTTTTTTGGCGCGAGAACGTCCAGTAATCCTTGGTGAAACCTCATCTAAGTCTATCACCGTGCTCTCTATATCCTCTTCATAATCATCATAATAGTCTTCTCTTGGAGATGGTTCTACCATCTTCAGCTTCTTCTGAAGAGGTTCTGGGCAAACTTCCACTTGAATTAAGGCTTCCATGCCAGCTGGAATCAGAGGGAAAACCAGATGTTAGCCAGGTCTCACCTTCCTTTTGTTGGAAGCAAAGTGCTTGCTTTGACGGTCAACCTGCACTTCAGATCTGGTGTATATTACTTCCAAATTGCATGTTACTGAATGTTCCGTTTCCTTACAACATGATCTGGCACGACACATTTTTAAATATATATTTATTATGTTGTGACAATGGAAATAAAATACAAAACAGAAAAAAAACCCAGGAAAAACATACATCCAACAGTAACAACAACAAAAAAGAAAAAAATGTGTACGAAAGAAGGAAAAATAGAAAAAAATGACTCAAACATCAAATAAGTCCAACATTAAACATAGGAAAAAAAAATCCATCCTGGCTGAATGCTGAAAATAAAAATTAAAAAAAAACTTGATAAATTCTCCTGCCCTTACATAAAGGGTCTGCACTGTATCTCTGACACCTTCAATTGTGTTGTTGTTTAATCTCTAAAAGCAGATTCCTTGCTGATGTCCCAAAGGTGCTTTTTCAGAAGGTCACTGGACTTTCTTGTTTTTCTTTGAAGACATTTCGCTTCTCATCCAAGAAGCTTCTTCAGCTCTGACTAGATGGTGGGGAATGGAAGGATTTATACTCCTTGCAGATAGCTGGTCATTTGCATTATTTTAGAGAGCCGTTCAGGCCATTTGGAGGTTTTCTGTGTCCTTTGAAGAAACGTCTTCAAGGAAAAAGAAGAAAGTCCACTTGCCTCCTGAAAAAGCATCTTTGGGACAACCATGACCTGGACGACTGAGAATCTCCATAGACATTGCACCTCAAACTCAATTGCATTGAGGGCAGTGATCTGGCTTAGAAGTCTACCTTGCAGGATAACTGGATGGTCCTTTTAGGAAAGACCATGATTGAACCCAAAGGTGCTTTTTTCAGGAGGCAACTGGACTTTCGTGTTTTTCTTTGAAGACATTTCACTTCTCATCCAAGAAGCTTCTTCAGCTCTGACTGAATCCTTCCATTCGCCACCATCCGGTCAGAGCTGAAGAAGCTTCTTGGATGAGAAATGAAACGTCTTCAAAGAAAAACAAAAAAGTCCAGTTGCCTTGTGAAAAAGCAGTTTTGGATTCAACCATGACCTAGATGACTGAGACTCTCCATAGACAGGTACCTTGCTGATGTGATGGAATCTGGCAGAACATGCGAAATGTGCCGTTAGTTCTGGGTGTTGTCTCGGCAGTGAGGAAAACGGCGGGGGAGATGTCCAGAGTGGCGTGCCGATGTTCTCTCACCAAAAAACTGTGACCCTCAAAAAATATGGAGTGGATTTCAGACCTGGTGCCCAGGCCAATGACATACCAATAGACAGGCCTCTTCTCACACAGCTTGAGATCTGCAGGTAGGGAAAAGGACAACCTTGTTGGCAAGATGCTTAGTGATGCTCAAGACAAAGTGTGGTTGAGATGCAGGGGTGGAAAACTTTGTGTTTTCAAACCAAGGAAGGAATCCGAAATTCAAATTAGCATTCAAAGCTTGCCCTTCACAGAATTCTGCCCTGCAATTGGCTAATATAATAATAACAACCAATAGTGATATAAATATATTGGGAAGCCATACATTTAATTCATAGAAATCGTGTAGCAAAATGCATTATGTTAGGGCAAATGTAGTTACAAATGAAAAATATGTGTGTTGGGAGAAATATAAATGAATGCATACTTTGGGCATAGTTTTAAAAATAAATGTTCAAGAGTAATAAACTAAACTCGACAGACACAAAAATGAAGAATGGAAAGCAACTTTGAGAGAGTCTTCTTTCCTTATTAGTTATTCATTCATTCCACTTCTAGTTCATTCAGTTTTTTCATTATTGAGTGACATGATCTGGGTGGTTCTTTGATAGATCCCAGAGAAGTCTTCCTTTAGTTTCTGGGAGACAGTTACACCAGACAGACAAAGACCAAGAAACTTTTCAAGTTCTGAGAAAGAGAGATATACCACATTTTCATCTTTATATATTTCTCCCCAAACACCAGTATTTTAACAGCCGGTCTATCAGAACACCCGGTCTACAAAGCAATCTACTTATTGCTTTTAGCCCCAATCTAGGAGCGTTTTTTATCATGCAGGCAGACATTACTGCGACAAACTATTTTGTGTTAAATTTAGATTTTGCCAACAAAGAGTTAAAGGGAGACTAGTATAGCTATTTCGAGCTATTTAGCTCTCATCAGCTAGCCACACCTTTCTGAGATTCGAACCTGGGCTGCTTGCATGTTAACCTAGAGGTTAATACAGCTGCCTAACATCCTATATCCTATCCTACATCCTATCTCCAATGTCATGTGTTAGTTGACATGTTTCATAAAAAGTGCTGTCCGTTTTTGCCACACTCTTACCAGGCAGAGAAGAATGAATGAACCCATTGATGGTATGAAACTGATGCTGAGTCAACGGAGACTTTGAGTTTCCTCTGATGTGAGAATACCAGCTTTTGTCTGATGGAGACGTTGAAGAAAGAGAGAAGGATGCAAGTGGTAGAGTTTAATTCAAGGACCTCCAAATCATCAAGAAAAGAGCCCACCCTTATCCACTGTTTCAGTCCTACAGGCCCATTATAGGAAAAGCAGAATTAGACATTGAGGCTAAACTTTTTCAGGTGGAACCTATAAAGTTTCCTACTGCTGCAGAGGAGATTATTTGGGAAGACACCCTAGTCCTCAGGACAATTTGACCGTAATCATGTAATTTGTATCCTGTCTTTCGGTCCAGTTCTGCCCCTTTATGTAGTCTACAAGCCAAACTAAACAAAAATAAAAATGAATTCTCTTGGAATTGGCTAAATTAGATAGCACAGTGTGCAAATAATCAAGGGGTGTAATCTAGAATGTTGGTTGGACATGAAGAATTAAACCCGTTAGGAACAAGCAAAGCTTAAATCCTACGGAAAGGTGTATTGACTGCCGATGATTTTATTCAACAGAATAAAAACACACGTACAAGGTGAGCACAACCATGCCCCTTTCTCTCTTCCCTCCCCCATTCTTCATCAAATATCTTACCTTCATCAAATATAGAAAACAGCAGCACAAATTCTTGTATTTTGCCCCCGGATTTTATACTCATCAACGCTCCTGCAGAGGAGAAACTCCATAGAACCATCAAAACAAAATGGCAGAAAGACTTCCTACAGATGTTAAGCAGATGACAATTTTCTAAACTGGAGCAAAACAGGAATCCTGAAATGTCTGAATTGTCTACTGTATCATCTGAATGATCATCCATGTTATACTCAGGTAGCTAGGCATTGGAAGGACTTACGAGTTCATGGAGTAGTTTTAAATCACCTTCTATTTCTCAGTCCTGACATATTCTTTGCTTCTACCATAACACCTGTGCAATAGAGATATTTTTTTTCTAATTTTGCAGCGCTGTTATAACCAAATCAGGCACGCGGATATTTTACTGAGATAATATATGGGATTCAACTGGAATGTTTCAGAAAAATGCTGCCTAAATGCCAGGTGTTATGATAGGAGCATATTTGGAATGTCATACAAAAGACTGCACAGCTATCTCGCTTTTCTAGTAGAAAAAGCATAAACAAGATTTTTAAAATACCCACACTGGATCTGCAAGTGAATCTGGTATGAATATATGGACTAAAATCACAAAGAATACTGAAAGAATGCTAGCAGGTCCTTATGAATCTGAAAAAAAAACACCTGGAGTGTGGATAAGAAGTTCTCAAGAGGATGGTTCTACTTCTACCATCTGATCTTACCTGGCTTACAGACCAGCAGTGGTCCAATCAATCCAGAGTTAATATCCCTGACGCTGTCCACATGAGAGGAGTAGGCATAAGTTAAGCAGTGTGTATCCGATCCAGTTGGCCCTTGATCTTCTAAGATCTCCCACACATAGACATGAGTGTGATCAGGTTCCACAGCATCATCTTTTTTCTCTACCTGGCTGGTCCAATCATCATAGCCTGCCCCTGAAAACACATAAGCACTGTCATCAATGACTATGAAGGTTGAGGTCACACAACACACTAATCCCAAACCATCCAAGCTACACTGTCGCTAGATCCAAAGGCTAAAGCTGATTGTACTCTTTGCGCTGGCTCTTGAGTTTAGCAAGTTTTGGAAATAATTTGAAGAGCCTGCAAGATGGACAGTAGGGCTGACACTCTTACCTTCAGAAGATTTCCAATAAGATACTCCTTTAGCATGAATATTGAAGGGACGGGAAGCCATATTCTTAAAGGTCACAACTACCTTGTCATAGACTTCGGCTTGGACGATGGGGCCCAAAAGACCTAATGAAAAGAAGAAAAATGGGTACAGGCTCAACCCTTAAGTTGAGCAGTAACAATTCCAAGGATAAGTTTGAATTTCTTTGGGTGAAAGTGAGCAGTTCTTTCTTTATTTGCAAATATTTGAAACTTTTGTTCGATGCACCCACCACAATCACAGGCTCATGACTACTGTTACATCACCTGCTCTTTGATCCTCTTCTCCTGTAATAAATCTTCCTCAAGTACATACCTAGCGTGTTTCCATTTATAAACCTAGATAAACAAGGCAAACGTAATCTTCCACCCTTCTCTTGATCGTTTAACTACCAATATTGGTAAGCAAATATGCATTATAAATGGAGCGGATTTGTTGTTTGTTATTTCATTGTTTTTAATGTGTGAAAACACACCGGTAAATAAAGCTGAAGCTACTGTAGCTGTTTCACTAACAATTATCAAGACGTTCTCCCTACCTCTTCCCAGTTAGTAAATAAGATAAGGTATTTTGCACCAATTCTAGCTCCTGAACAGTCTTCTAAGATAGTTGCGTGGACTCCGTATTACAGCAGTCAATCAACCCGAGACATTTTTCAGTGCAGGAATAACTCCATTAAAGACTCCCGAATTTTGCTGAGAAGGGTACCAATCTTATAAGCAAAAAAGACTCCTTAGCTTACCCATCCAAGCAGGCTTCGGTTTTACTTCTCTGAATGTAGAATCTGTATATTCCAGATAAATTGCCTTCTTATATTGAGGGCCTGGGGTGGAAGAAGACAACCTAAGAAATTAAAAAGAGTTAGTCAAAGAAGAAAGTTGAGTTCAAAAAGGCTGGTGTCTGCATTTTCAAATCCTGCATTGTTGATCAGCAGGGTTAGGAGGACTTCAACTCCAATAATCCTCACCCACCAGGACAAAATGGCCCCAGGCTTGGAGTGTGTGTGTGTGTATGTGTGGGGAGGGGGTATACAAGGTTGGGGAGGGCTGAAAAGACTGGAAAGAGAAAAATGAGAAATGTGATGTGCAGCACAAAGTTGTATCAAAGCAATATCTCTTTCATATTGTTTTGTCTGCTTTCTGCTCCATGGTCACAATCCTGCAGTTTTCCTGGCAATGATAGGGAAATATTTTGCTGTCTTCTGGGCTGCTTCCTTGCCTCCACTTAATCCAGATTCACGGGTGTTCGATTCAAGAACTAACAAGGCTGATTCCAGCTTTATTTTTCTAAAACTAGCCCAGGTCAGCTAAGTGCCACTACCTGCAGTGAGGTGCAAATATAGGATATCTCAAATTTAGGACTTGCAAATAGGCTTTGCAACCACGCTCTGTCGATACTATTGGGGCATTTAACAAAATATTCCAGTTTTGAGGGCTCTCCTTTTATCTCCCCTGTAATCTCCAGTCCATTTGTCCCATTGCCTCAAGAACCCCGACTGTTTCAGGGGCATGGTTCTGAGCGTTCCACGCCAAGGGCCGATGGCCAGGTGAATCACTTCAGCCAAATACATTTTTTTAATGAGGGGGTTTTTTTTTGTGCTCTCTGAGCTTGGTTGTTTTCTTGAAGATGTTTCATTACCCAGACTAGGTAATTACTCAACTAGTAGTCAGAAGACTTGATGAAAACTCCCCACCAGCAATCAGCACCCAGATGAGCAGAGATTAACTCCAAGATTAACATCAGACCGACATTCAAGTAAACAACACCCCAATCAAGGAACTTCCAAACAAGCAAACAGTAAGCAGCCCTCCAAGACCACTCCCACCAACATTGACAGGGCAAGCCACTAGAATATAAACAGAGAGTAAACCCCATTCCTTACTAGCACTGATAATGTTATCTAGTTGGGTAATGAAATGTCTGCAAGAAAACCACCATGATCAGAGAGCACCAAGGACCCCATAATTATTCTCCTCCTCCTCCTCCTCCTCCTCCTCCTCCTCCTCCTCCTCCTCCATAAACCCCACTCCCTTCTAGCATTGATGATGTTACCTAGTTTGGATAATGAAATGTCTGCAAGAAAACAACCGAGATCAGAGAGCACCTAGGACCCCACAATTATCCTCCCTTTCCTCCTCCTCCTCCTCCTCCTCCTCCTCCTCC